TAGCATGCATTTGAGCTCGCAATCAAGCATCCTACACAGATGTTGGCAAATATAATAGCCGAAGTGAATTTAATAGAGGAACTAAAAAAATCGCTACTCCGATCGGATGAGTTTATTATCGTGATGGTTATGATGAAAATGATAAAGTGGAAATGACTTTAAATCAGGCACTTAAAGCCATAAAAAGTAGAGGAAGAAGTATTCCAGTAGATGGCATTTATTCGATATTAGGTTTGTTGCCTTATGGAGAATGGGTAGTTCCTAAATACAAAGGGAAACTATGCAAAGAATGCAAAAAATTAGAAAATGAACGAAAAAAAGAGATAATTTGTAAACATCCAGAAGAACAAAAGGAATACTGACCTACTTACTTCAAAGCCGAATTGGAACAAGTTTTATATGAAGCAATGAAAGTGGCAGCGGGGTGAAGAAAAAAAATAGAGCCTGCTGATTATGTTCTTCCTGAATATTATCCAATTGAAGTACTTATCTGACGGAAGAAAGGTAATTGAATATAGAGAAAAGAGTGGCCATGCTGAACCTCTAGCTTGACACGGAAAAGGTAATGGCTGAATTCCTCAGATAGATGAGAATGGTTCAACTAATGTCGAAGGAGGGATGGAAATTAAAATTATAAATGATGAAAGAGAATCAATGATTTTTAAAGAGGAAGGCATTGGATTGTGTGATGTTACGGATTATATTATAAAGGAAGCAAGTCCCAATATCCACAAATTAGAAGGAGGCTTTGAAACAGACGAAGGTCTTTATCGAAAAGAAGTTAAAGTAAAAGACGAAGAGAGTAATGAGATTATCGAAGTACCTTTATTAGGAACCCAAGCCACTCTTAATTTGGCTAAAAAGGATAAATATTTAGTGGTGTTTGATATAGGAGGCAAATGGCAAAGCAACAAGCATTTTGCTCTTCTGGCAGAAGATACAGAAAAAAAAATTCATTGATATAATGCCTGTTCTATTTACAATCGTCTCGGTTTAGTAGAATTAGGTAACG